AATACAATCAGCACTATCTAAACTAAGTGTAAAGCTTTAACTAAACAAACAAGTAACATGCATTCCTAAGAACACTGAAGTTTTATTTGGATCAAGTACACCAAAAACATAGAAAACCTTACAAAACCCAAGAGCACTGAAGTTAATATAAAATTCTAAACCTAGCACATCACGGTGGATCAAGCATCAACAACAGTGAGAGGAATATTTTAGAAAAACCTATCATGGAACTTAAAAACAGATGAGCACAGAGAGGACAGGAATTGAGTAGAGAATTGCCTGCTGATTTGAATGAGCTTCAAAACGGGGGGCCTTTGACCTCAATTTCTCTGCTTGATCGTACAAGTTGTAGTGAAGATAATTCCGCAGCAGCAGATTAAGGAGTGTTTCCTGCACCCATAACCATCGAATAAGTATAAAACATCATATTCAGAATACAAAGGGCACCCAAAGATCCAGAACACTGACAAACCTGACCCAACTCATCATGGCGTAATGTTGCAATCCGGTGCAATGCAAGGAGATTACTGTCGGTAAATTAGAAGTTCAATCAGAGACAGAAATGGAAAAGCCAAAACGGAGCCAAAAGATAGGCTTAAAGGAGATGAATTTAACTCAATACTCTCTCTTCCCTAATCTCATTTGGAAAGCCTGTTCTATGAAAGCATGGCATTGGTGTTACATGCGTGCTTGTACAATTTAGAACTTACTCACCCTCGAATTTCGGCAAGATCACCAGTAAGTTCATAACACAGAGAGTAGTAGAAGTAAAGCCTAGAAGCTAGTACATCAACAGTCCTCCTGTTGACAGTTTTCAAACGAGCAATACTTGCTGAGGAGCACGCCTTAGCCTGAAAGTAAACCAGGAGTAATTTGTAGCTCCTTGAAAACACAAACTTAACACGAAAAAGGCAATATGAAATAGAACACATTACTTTATCCTACCTCATTGTATTTCTTCTGGTCGATTAGAAATATCAATACAAGCAAGTAGCAATAGATCTCAAGCTCTGGCAAAGGATTCTTAATCGGTGCCTGAGCTCCAGATGTTGCAGTATCAACTTCCATATCCTGCTCGTCTTCCTGCAAGAAAGAAACATTTGTATAGTAAAAAACCAATAACCAACAACACACACACCATTAAATCCTATCTGGAAGGTTTTATCACTAAAAGCTCCTGTACTATTGCACCTGCTACTAAGGGGGGAAAATCAAGAGTACTCTAAACTCCATGAACCCCAACAAAAGTTAAGCGCATACAATTATTCCACCAACCTCCAGACAATTTTCAAGTTAACTTCCACAAATCCAACAGTGATTCTGTGCTGCATAAGAAAACAACAACTACTACGACTAGTAGGCCAAAATCTCAAACTAGCTAGTTCTGCTATATGAAATCCAATATCCATTTTGCTCACAATGTACCAGTTTCACTCCAATACCTAATAATTTGGGGTTCTTTTTTTTCTTCTTTCTTTTGTGATACGTTCAATAACTTGGTAACTCTAGAGGTTCTCTGCATTTCACCTACATATCTTGCATAAGAAAATCAGAGATACTGGGTATGTTGTTGTTGTTTAAAAAAGGTCAAAATATCTGAGACAACAAAACATGGCCTGAAGAACCAAATCTGCGTTACATAATTGCAATATGTGGGATATGCAGGATATGAAAGAGATAAGCCCAATGATACTTTTGTACATGAATGCACTTACAGCTTGCTTGGTGGTTGTTACCTATTGTATTGTATCGTATTGTTACTTTAAATACAATGTTTGTTTTGATTGTTACTTAAATATTATTGTATCATATCGTTCAATCAGTTGTTACGTAACGACGAAAAGTGCCGGAACGATGGATTTGGTGTGGTGGTGTCGTTACCTTGCTTTTTTCTCTCCCTTCCTTAATATTAAATAACCATATTTTATCATTTATCTTATTCTTTTATATAATAATTCTACTCCGTATCCTATTTTTTCTTAGCAATATTGCAAGTTTATTATTCATATTGTTGGTGAGTGACATCATGAAACGACGACAAACGATACAATCTATCCAAATGTTGTATTAATCACAATATAGTACAATACAACACAATACGATACATTATGAAATGATAGGTAACAATAATCCAAACAAGCTGTTATGAATGCACTTTCTTGGTGCCTCATCATACAGTAAAATATTTGCTTGCTTATCCAAAAAGCCTTACCTTTGGTAGGAAAGAAGATAGCCGGGAATGCACCTCAGATCCAGGAACTAGAACAAAATTGAGGAAAGCAGATAGTGAAGAAGCCTTTAGCTTCTTCCTCAGTGCCATAGTCAGCCTCACGGCTCTTGAAATCCTCCGAACCTCACGAGCATATGCCCCAGTCTCAATCAACGATGCTATCTCTTTCAAATCTAAGAGAACACCCAAATTATAAAACTAAATAAACCCCAAAAATTCTTCAGTCAAAATATAACCTTTACTACAAAATCCTAAACTCTGATCTATCAACTGAAACCCAGATCAATTTCCACTCAAAAACCCCCCACACCCAAGATAGAAAAAGCCCTAAAAGTGACCATTTCATAAAAACCCTAACATTGATCTATTAAATTTGAGAACACAGAAATTTCCAGTAAAAATAACAATACCAATAAAATAAAAATAAGAACTTTAGATCTTTATGGACAATAAAGTAATAAACCCATGAAAAAAAATGGCACAAAGATTGTACTTACGATGGAAGATTGAAGGGGCAGTGGATGAAAGAGAATCGGAAGGAGGAGCTGCTTGCTCCTTCATCTCCACGTCTTGAGTCATCTTGTTTGAAAAGATCAATTACAGAAAGAAAGAAAAAACGAGTCTATAATGTTTTTGATTCCGAGCTTCTCAAGAGTCGATGCTCTCTGATAAACCTCACACACTGCAAACGCTCTTTTTGACCATTTTGTCCTTGCTCCTTTTTCTTTTTTCTTTTTCTTTTTCGTTTTAAGTGTGTGTTTTTCTTGCTGCTCACGTTTGATTTTCTTTTATCTAGTTAAAACGTAAAATAAAGAAAATCGAAATTCCGTTCCACATTACAGCTTGTTTGGATGGTTGTTACCTATTATATCGTATCGTATGATTACTTTAAATACGATATTTGTAATGATTGTTACTTAAATTTTATTGTATCATATCGTTAAATTCGTCATTACATAACGACGAAATGTGCCACTTTATGTAACGCCCGATTTGGTGTGGTCGCGTCGTTACCTTATCTTTTTCTTTCAATCTACCCTTCATTATAATTAAAGAATTTTATTTTATCATTTATCCTATATTTTCATATAATAATTTTATCCCGTATCATAATTTTTGTTTATAATATTGCAAGTTTATTTTTCATAGTGTTGGTGCGTGATATCATGAAACAGCGTCAAACTATATAATCTATCCAAACATTACATTAAACAATACAATACAGTACAATACAATACGATACATTATGAAGCGATATGTAACAACCATCCAAACAAACTGTTAGTTGTCGTTTAGACAAGTTATTATTGTTTTCAAAATTTTAGCATTTTAAGAAATAAGAAATATTGATTACCTTTTTTCCAACTTCACTCTTTAGTGATCTAATTAGTATTAATTAAATAAGATGTTGGTGGAATTTTTTTAATTAAGATATATAAGCTGTGGATAAAGAATAAATCAAACAAATATTCTTATTTTGTTTTACTATACAATTTCTTCATAATTAAAGGTGCTGATATCTTTCTAAAGAGTAATGTTGAAATATTTTCGTATTTAGCCATCCTCACTCATATGAGCATCTCGGGAACTCGTCCAATTCAAATTTGCCGAAAAGTTTCAGTTTGAAAATAAAATACTACCAAAAATAATTTCATCCCCAAAGTTCGAACCACAACATGCTCATATCTCTCGTACTATATAAACCTTTTTGGCGCTTTAGTTTATGACATCTTCTCTTTATGCATTTTTGTCATAACTCTTCATTATATGGGAAATAGAGAGATATTACCCTTCTTGCCAAACAATATCAAGGTATATTCTTTCTTTCCTTTCTTTTCAACATTCGGTGTATGCCTTTACTATGATTTCACTACTAGAAATTCGGCAAAAATCGAACAAGAAAAATCGACCAACTTTGGTCGGTAAAAGAACCGATCGGTTTTTGCAATTAAAATAAATAAAGATTAATATTAAAAAAAACGGCCAACTTAGGTCGGTGTATTCGGCCGATCATTTTAAAAAACCGACCAGCTTTAGTCGGTAATTTTATTTTTTAATAAAACCGACCAACTTTGGTCGGTTATTTTCATGCGAAAAAATAATTAAAGAGTATAAATAAATAAAAAGACAATCTTAAAACAAAATGCACCAATGGTCTAGTGGTAGAATAGTATCATGCCATAGTGCACACCTCGGTTCAATTCCCAGACGGTAAATCTTTTGATTATATAATTAAAATACCGACCAACTTTGGTTGATTTTTTTTTTGAATTTAATTTACCGACCAACATTGGTCGGTAATTTCCGACCAACTTTATTAAAACGACCATCAAAATGTCGTCCAAGCGTATTTGGTCGCGTTTTGGTCGGTAATTGGCCATAACCGACCAAAGTTGGTCGGTTTTTGTGGTCGGTATTTACCGGATTTCTTGTAGTGTTATAAAGTATTTGAACAAGAGTACTATGAAAATATTTATAAGAAGTAATTTAATTTTTTAATTAATTAATTTAAGAAATAAAATCAAGCGAACATAATTTCTCGTAATGGCTAAGCACGTCTCACTGCTCAAAGATTGCTGCTGAATGACAGCATTCTTATTTGCTGAAAAAATGATCCACAAAACCATCAAATAACATACATGAATGAGAATAAACATATCTACACTATCAATAGAGATTGACCTTAAATAATATAATGGGAGAAAAACACTTTTAATTCTGTTGTGAAGGCGGACAGCATTACGAAGAAAAGTAACATTGCTAATTTGAAAGAGATGAAATATAACTTCATTGCTATCGAGGAACTAAGAATAACATTTCATCTAATAACAATGGATATTTAGACTAAATGAGACTAAATGTTAATGTATCGAATTACAAACAAATTAATGAGGAGATTCCAGCATGCACCACCGGATCTGAAGGCCCCAGGTCCACTGTACGCAAACCAACTCCAAAATGCAATATTTTGCAATAACAGAACAAAAAAGATCTCATAAACTTTTTATTACAATCCCTACACCCTCCTACCCTCCCCCTCCCCCTCCCCCAGTATATCTCGAAGAAATCCCGAATATTCAAAAGAATGAAAGGTTTACCAGACATTTCTGGTATTCTGAGGCGCGGCTGACATGGTAAAAGAAAAAATCAGCCTAAGACGTACTGCACGTTAGATGCATCTCGTCAATAAAAAAGGTGCAAATCAGATTATTTGCTCTGCTCAAAATGTAGAAACTAAATTTGGAAGCACACCATATCATTTCTGAAACTTAGCGTTGAGTTTCCGAGTTGTGGTTTGGAATCATCTTCGAGCTCTCACTAAAGATCGGGTATTTCCCTGGACCATCCCTCTTACCAAGATCAGGTCTTCTAGCTTGGGGATTAGCCATATGTAAACCTCTAGGATCTGAAGTACTAGAGTTCCTTCCAGAATTAGACTGCTCACTTTTCTTGTACCTATTTTCTGTAGCAACATTGCTCTCCTTGCTAGGAGTCCTGTCTGCTGGTGCAGAGCTAAAAATACCAAAACCAGAGGATGGAGAACTTCGAACACCAGAATGAGAAGGATGTTGCTCCGGAGACCCATTAAGAGGAGACTTCCTCAGCAACTGAGATCCAAGGTCTCTAGTATGTGACAAGCCACTCCTATCCAGTGGCAGTTGCCTTCCTATATCAGATAGGTTGTCCACTGTCATTGTGCTCCTTGAACTTGGGGTGCTACTAGGAGCTGATTTGGTAGGTACAGATGAGTTTCTAGGGTCTCTTTGATACCTATTTTCTTCCCCTGACGGAGCCTGCACTGTGTTCCCTAATTCTCTTCTGAAACTACCAAATGAAGGCCCAGCTGCTTCAGTTCGAGAAGAATCACGTGCAGATCTCGCGCGTGCAAAATCTGAAGAAACATTTGTAAAACTTGGAGTTCTAGCACCTACATTTTCGCCCTCCACAAAATCAAAAACCTTCCTGGAATCACCTTTTGCACCAGATACTCTCCAATCTGATCTCTTGTCATCCACATCTTCATCAGTCATTTCTTCTTGACAGCTATCGTCGTCACTTTCAACACTAGATTCAGCAGCATCACAGTTTTCATCCAATTGTAAAGAACTTTGAGATGCTGCATCTTCTTCAGAACTGGCAGTTTTGCATTCTTTTGACGCTTTCTTTCCTGAACCCTTCTTTGACGGACCGAACTTAACATGCCTGACAACAATATATGCCTGCTTTTTCTCCACTCTTGGCCCACTTTCAATATAGGCAACATCTTCAATCTAAAGAAAACAACAACCAACCAAGGCACAGAACTTAAATAATAAAATAACAATTAAAAATAGCTTCAAACAGGATGCTACCAACAGAATAGCACCATATCTTACCAGAGGAGAGAAACGTGATAACACTGCTCCCAAATCCTCTCCTTCATTGCCCATGGACATGGCTGTACACTGTTCAGGAACACAAAAGATCATAACTGATTATATTTGATAAAAAGATAACCAAACATACATTCTCATGCAACCAACATTATCTGCTTTACCAAAAACATTGCAGACAATAAATCCTCAAGAAATCAACGTCACATTTTTAAAAAAACACGAAGTTGCTACCAAATACCCTGTCCAAAGCTCCAAAAAAGAAAAAAAAACTGTCCAAAGCTGGTTTAGACTTCTCACAAAGTACCAAAGGACATTTTATCGATCTTTCTTGAAGCCAAGCTTCAGGTAAACAATAGAAGACCCATTCAAGTTGCTTATTATGCACCCTAGTTTTCCAAACATGCATGTGACAGCAGACTGGCTCAACTCCATAATAATCAAGTGTCACAGAAGATATCAAATAGAAAAAAGTAGTGAAAACTAGCATCTACCTAAAAGTGGCTTTAGCATACAACAGCAACAAACCCAGTGTAATCCCACAAAGTAGGGTCTGGGAGGGGTAGAGCATAAGCAAAAGACGGTAGACCTTACCCCTACCTAGTGAAGGTAGAGAGGTTGTTTCCGATATAGTGACAACAAGAAGATAAGGTGACAGGGTGATAGAATAATCGAAGCGAAAGGATCAACATATACTAAAAGTGGCTTTACTAAATATCAAAAAAATCCAAGAAACATTTGCAAGCAGATTGAATTGAACTCGGGTAAATTCAGATGCATGTCTTAAAAAACCAGCCTGTCAACCTTAAAAAAGGTTTTATATGGTTTATGACATAATCAAACCTATGGGGTTAAAAGTGATGCACCGACAAGGATATCTTACAGCACGTAATGGTCTTTAAATTTCAACCTCTAAGTCTGAAAATTTTAAACAATTGATTTCAAACTTTTACCTAATCAACAAATAGTGTTCTAGCTTTTTGAGCCACTAAGGACACCTCGAAGAACATGAGAGAAAATGAGGTGCTAATTTTCCATGTTTTTTTTTTTCGTTTTCTGTGTTAAAATTGATCATTCAAAAGGAGACCATTTTAAATTTTTTGATAACCGGAAAATCCCCGAGGCCAGTAGTGCATAGAAGCTCGGTGAATAATAGGCATGTCCTTCTACCCTTCTCCACTTAAATATCATGCTTTTGTCTGGCAGTTTTCGAACTCGTGATGTGCGCCTAACTCACACATCACGCGTAGAGCTCTTACCACTAGACTGAAGCCCTGTGGGCCAATAGAAAGAGCATTTATTTGCAAGCCTTTCTTAAAACAGAAGATGGCAGGATGCAACGAAAAAAAAATTGAGAGTAGCTGCATTAAAAACAAGCAAACACAACACTGAGATGCTTTTTTTGTTTTTTTTTTTTGGGGTGGGGTGGGGGGGGGGGGTTGTTTAATGGCTAAGTAAGTACCTTCACCCGATAGCCACGCTCCATCATTCGCTTAACTGTATCTGCTTTAATTTTCAAGTCTTTTTTTTCCTGCATGACACACACAGAGAGAGAGAGAGAGAGATTCAACCCCACAATTGATTTCAAGGCATCATAGAACTAAGAACTGCAAAATTTCAAACAATTGTCAATTATATGGTGCGCTTCCATGGTTAAAGGTGGATATCATTTTAAAGTTCTTCTTTTCAAGTATAATAAACAACTATCAGAACGAATCATTAGTCAATGGCAAATAGTCCGTGCAAAAGCAAAAAATGAAGGCATCTGATTCAATCTGAAACCTGATAAGAAACCGACACTCAAACCTATCTAACAGATGATTATCATATGCTCCTTTAAGGATCTGGTATCTCATTTATAAGAAAAAGCACCATCCATAGTTGTCATAAGAACACCACTGATATCAAAATACCAAATTTTGTGCAGAGCTTCAGGAAAGGCTTAGTTCTATTGTATTGTGATCATACGTAAGGCACCGGATCTGATATGTCATGGGAATGCTATAACGGAGAAAAACAAGCAATAGACTTACGATTTTCCCAACAAATCGGACTTCTTTACAATCTCCCTTCTTCAAAGTTAACTCAGACTGCAAAATATTACAAGAAAAAATCAAGTACTGACGACAATTAACTAAAGCAGAGCCAAAACAAATTGACTAATAATTGTACACTGCCCCTTTACATCTGAAGTTTTTGCATGCCAATTTTATCTGATTCTTGCTTACCTCTCAAAGGCAAACAAAAAAACTACCACAATATTGAAAAGAAAAATAGGGGTCCACCATCATTTATGCATGCGACGGTAGGAGGTTACTCTATAAAAGGTCACTGTTGCACCCACCCCACTCCCCCCCCCCCCCCAAAAAAAAAGCAAGATTTTGTGTGACAGTTGGACATGGGTCTTTTACATCCAGAGGATAAGAACTACTATTACCTGTGTTTTTTATAAGGAGAACTACTATTATCTGTTGGATCATTTATTACAGTTTTAATCATGCATATCCAATTTTCAAAATCATGGAAGCAGCTTTGCATCTGGGAGACTTATGTGACCTAAAATATATCCGGATTATGTTAACACTTGGCAATTCCCAGTAGACAGCCCATACATCCAAAAAAAAAAAAAAAGTTTGATAACCGTGGTGGCCGGGCTAGCTTGCGCGCACCTAAGCAAATTCCACGGGATACCTGCTACCTCCCACCAGCAACAGGTGCCAGGTAACTCTATCCACCAAGGTTAGACAGATGGGAAGAAATCACCTAGTGTTTATTCTTTGTTAGGAATTGAACCTAACACCTCATGGTTCTAAACTCACTTCATTGACCACTAGGCCACACGGGTGCGAACAGCCCATAAATTTCCATCAGTAAGAACACCTAGGACTTTCAAGGTCAGATTCTATGTGATAGGGAGAGATTTTACCATTAAATTTACGAAATCACCTTCTTCCTACATACATAAACATAAATCAAGTATGGAATATCATCATTAAAGATGCAGTAGCCGAACAAGTGGATCCAAGCTTCAATGCTTGAGGTCACTTGACCTTAAAGAATTAATTTGAGCCAAAAAGAATGGAGGTAGCTTAGTTGAGCTCGACTTCATCAAGCTTTTCCAGAGTCAAGCTTCAACTAGACTTGGCGAGCTCTAAATCTTAAACAGTTTTAACTCACGATCAATACCACATTTATATGATATTGAAGCTAAAGATTGGCTTCAGATACAAAATACACACCAATTAACTGATGCTAGCAACACCTCTAATACACAGGCATTATTGAGGGAGAACGTACCTTGCTTTTTTTAGCATTGTCCTTTAATTGTTGTTGATACTTCTCTTTGTGGTAGTCCATAATTTTGCAGACTGGTGGTTTGGCATTTCGTGACACCTGCAAAATCACAAAAACCAATTTAGCACACAGTATATCAGATGGAACCACATATTATTAAATGGTCCTGCCTTATTGGGAAAACCATATACTAACACCTATTAGACCCCTTCCCTTATTCATTCCCTATTGATGTCGGATTGAAGCTAAAAGTGGAAGTGAAGAAGGGTACAGAGAATTGCAGAAGAATGGATTAGCAACTTCAACTCTTTCCAAAGATTAGGGTCCAGCCACATCATTTGGCAAGAGAAGTTGTCAATTAGAGAGACATTTCACATCCGAAGTATCTTTACAAGCCTTCTTTTTTCCCATTTGGTATAGGTTCTTTTTTTTTATACTACTTTTTTTTTTTGATACTATCCTTCCATTTTGGTATAGTAAAGAAGATTATGAAAATATGATTAATTCCCTATCACTACTTCCCATTTGCTTTCTTGTCTTGCCAGAATATATGGAGAAGCTTACAAACTTCAGTAAGGGAAGTAGGTGTAAGTCCTCCTTATCCTGACTTCTTAAGTTCACTAACCAAAAAATGTCATACTTGATATGCACACACCTCATCTTCACATATCTATATTACTTAAAATTGGTTGAAAAACTACTTTTAAGGGCTTGTGGCGAAAATAAGACGTCCTTCTCAATATAATCTTCTCCTAGTAGCAAGAAAGCCAAGAAAATGTTTATATACACTTCTTTCAACGAACAAAAGACCTTTGTTTTTCTATAAACTACACGTCTTTTCACTCAATTTTCTCTTAGCAATCATCTTATCCTGTCCATGACCAGATTTGAGAACATTTCAACCACGGCCTATGTACACAGGCACTCTACATTGCAACAGAATCGAATTAATAAGAATTTTCACATCTTGGAAGATGAGTTGACAAGTAAACCAAAATAAAATCCATCAGATTGACAAAAGTCAGTTCTTTCTGACTTTTCTTGTTAGCCCCGCTTAATTGCATATTGAGCTGCTATGACGTGAATTGAAGAGAACAGAATTGAGTCAGAATTGAGTAATACAAGACGCGAAACGAAGAGTACTGAATCAGTAAAGAAAGGGAAGAATGATACAAAGGGAAACTGTCCTATCAACAAGAAACGAGCAAGCTCAATATGACAGACTTGCTCAGTCATCACTGTACCAAGGTAACAAGGAAAGCAACAGATAAGCCCAAAACGCTGCTTATGAACCAGAAAAGATCTTCAGCGAGAAAGTTTATTTCCCTCGTGTTTTCATGTTATAATAAGCATTAATTTGACATTTGTGTTAGTTTATCCTAGTCTTAGCCCCGGGCCTTAGATTTTTCGGTTTTTATGTTTCTGTTACTATTACAATTTCTACTGGAGTTACTAATGAATTCTCTCCTCTTGTTTTTTCTTACTTTATTTTCGTCTTTCTGAGCCGAGGGTCTATCGAAAACAGCCTCTCTGCCCCTATCGGGGCAGGGTAAGGTCTGCGTACACATTACCCTCCCCAGACCCCACTATGTGGGATTTTACTGGGTAGTTGTTGTTGTTGTTGTTGTTGTTGTTGTTGTGTTAGTTTATCCTAGTATGTTTTCCTGTCAGTAGTATCGCTCTTGTAACTGTAAGTAAGCCTCATGATTGACACTTCTTACCTCCACCAAATCAAGATTGAGACTTCTTGCAAGTTCCCACGCCTCACGTATGGACACTACGCGATGACCTGCAAAAATGCAAAGAATAAGACCTATAATAATAGAAAATAAACAAAAACTGCGTCATATAATAGCAATTAATCAACACTAGATTCTGAGACATGCGTATAACAGTTAGGAAAATGTCAACTGCTTGACTTAAACCCAGAGCACTAAAGCTACCTCTTTTCTTCTCATTTTACATACTAAGGGAGAAAACTCAAAACAAAAAACTAAAGCTTTCGCTTATATTATTTTCTTAAACAGAAGTAAGGCAAAGTAATACAAGAAAAGTGTACAACCAAAAGCCATGAACATATGTCTCGGGGTAACTAGGCCGTGCTGTCCAAACAGATGCAAAGCAAAAATATGCTGAGTTTCATGTGCAGCTCAGAATCAATTGTTTTGTGAATAGGTTAGAATTCATTTTTTCCTTAATAGACTACTCTGATTTAATTCCATTTCAATCTCTTTAAGTTTTGGCTTTATAATTCAATTACAGATTCATAAGATTACCGGTTTTATAATTTCGAGACTTCAGGCATAAAGAAACTCAAACTTGATAAATGGAGTCCTTTGCTTGGTCCAGAATTTCAAAACAACATTGCTTTAAATACTATTTCTAACGCTTGATATATAGTAGAGCATCCGGCAATTCTTCAACACATTTTAACCTTTTGCATGATGCATAAGGAATTATTCCAGTGTTCATTAAGCTTTCATCCTTCTTACATGTTACCCCAGCACCAACCTCTTGCTAATTCTTGGTTCTCTGCTAAAATACTTTGCAATGCGTTCAGCCATGACTATTAAGAAAAATAAAGCAACTAAATTTTTATTTTTTTGTTATCTGTTCCATTTAGCAATGTACTTTCAATACTTCTAGCTCCAATAAGCAACTCTAGTCATAACATGTGAAATTGAGAATCCTTTTTTTTTGGATGAAGAGTGAAATTGAGAATCCTAATTATGGATACCCGGGTAACATAATCACACCCCAAGGAACTTTGACCATTTAATTTGCATTTTGAGTTTTCCAACAAAAGCTTTTCCTCGAGGTTACATGTCATATGCCAACCTTATTAAGATTTGGAAGTCAGAGTCCAAAAAAATGTGACTTTTTCAACATTAAGCACAATATACTGTACTACCATACTATGATCATATGATGATCTTAGCATCTTGCTTCATAAAAACTTCATACAAATTCAGCCTTCACTTTTTCCCCGCTCGACTATTCCGCAAGGTATCTACTACATCCCACTAGCATAGAAATCTTGTAACTATATCGACGAAGGCTTAAGCAGATGGATTATCACAAAGTGTTTTTTGAAAAAAGTTTGACCTTCCTTCTTCATGAAACAAATGAAAAACAACAACGACAAAGTAAAAGGAAGAGCTGAACTTAATTATAAAATCACCTTCATCACCGACAAGCCTAACAAAGTCTGCTTTGATTTCGTGATTCAATCTGGGCCCACTCGAATCCTTCTCTTCCTTCCTCGTTTTCACCTGCAAAATCAGTTACAATCCTCACTACACGCATGATTATCAATGAACATAAAACAACTACGTGATCTTAATTGCTTAGCTTACCTGTACAGGAGCTGCAAAAAACCTGACACTTTGTGGAAATTCGAATGGACTTTTCTGGATAATTAAGCTAGGGTTGCTGAGAACCCGAACTGAAGTATGTGAAGAAGCACGGGCAATGAGCGAATTAGAACCGTGGCATTGAAAATAAGACCTTTTCAGGTGACCTGAAAGGGTTTTGATTTTGGAGTTGTTCACTCTACACCAAAACGCCATTGTTGTGCTTTCACGTACCCTCTGAAATGTTCCACCGGAAGGTGGAGAAATAACGCTCCGAAAAGTGAATCGGGTTATGCCGGAGGGTCCGAAGATGACGAACTGTCGTTGTAGACAGAGATACTTGGGCTTTCTCAAATCAATTCATCTGGACTCAATTTGGGCTTCGACTTGGGCCTTTCTCTTTCCCTACTATGAATACGGAGATTTACACGATTTCTTTTAAATTTTGGCCTCGTCAGAATCTGAAGTAAAATTCCGGCTGGTCGCCACGTTTTCTTTATTTGATATTTGATACTAGTCAATCTGACAGTCATGAAAGAAAATAATAAATTTATGAAATACATATTTTTTTGTTAATTTAATCGACGTAAGAGTAGCGCTGTGCATAATTTGGTAAATACCGAATTATCGTACCGAAACCGAAAATTTTGGTATTTGGTATTCGCTATGGTAATGGGTTTAGGTTTTAAAAAATATTGGTATTAGGCATGATATTTGGTATTTTAAAATAAAATACCGGAATACCGATACCGTACCGAAATATATTAAATTCCGATCGTTGTGAAAGTTAATGAATGAATCTATTTTATTCTAATTCGATCTAAGAAGAAAAAAATCACGCTCTGTAGGATTTGAACCTACGACATCGGGTTTTGGAGACCCACGTTCTACTATATTGCACAATACACAAATTATTAATTATAACATAAATATAAAAATCTTAAATTTTGATTTCCTTTATTCTCTACGTTTATCAATTAACTCTAAGCAAGTAACAAGACATTTCTAATGATTAAATTTATTCTTTTATGTACAGTTTTCTCTCTCTAAGTTAATATTTGGTAGTTTTGGACAATATTTTTGTCAACAAATGTTTTTAATTTTGTTCTTTTGAGTACTTTAATTTAGAATATCACAGTCTATGTCTATGCACTAGTTTGTATTAAAACCGAATAAACCGAAGTTACGGAACCGAATAAACCAAAACCAAAACGAGGAAAACCGAACCATACCGAATTTAATTAGGTACGGTATTGGTATTGCATTTAGGAAACCGAATACCGAAAATACCGAACGGAAATGTCTAAATATCGTACCGTATCGACCGACAAACACCCCTACGTAAGAGAATAAAATTTTCAAGTATACACATAAAAAATCAATTCCACAAGTGAATTAAATAACAAATATAAAAAAATTCTCTAGTACTCCAAGCCTCCAACACCCTCCATTTAATTTAGAAATTAAAAAAGAAATAAAATAAAGGAGTCCACAACCAGCAAACATTTAGGCACAGACGTTTTCGACTACATAGACCTCAAAAACATTACGAAAGAGCAAAATTTTGCCAATGCATGACCTTACATGTATTGGCTATCAAGAGCAGAGTAATAGAAATAAATTAGGGACAAGTGCACAGATTAGCCAGTATATATTTTGTTCTAAGATTTTAAACAAAACATTTAAATCGAAAAAAATAAAATTCAGGATGTATTAGCTAATTTTTAAATACAACTATGTAAAGCAGCGAAAGAATTATAAGAAAATACACGTGACTTCACGCCATAACAAAAAATGACCCATATTTTTAAGTTTTACCCGACCTAGCCCATATTGTACATATTTTGAAAGCACTAGCAAATTCAAAATTTGTGTTCTTACAACCCTTGCTTCTAAAAGCTATGGAGTTAAATCTGCGTTCTCACAACCATTGTTTTCACTCTCTCTTCCTCTCACATCTTCTACATATGCTTCAAGGGGCCGTGTATTTTCTGCTTCTCCCCCTGTGTCACCTAGTTGCAATGTAAGAAAATTGAAAAATAGAAGTCCACCATTGAAGGCCATTCAAAGCTTTGTTTGGAAAATAGGATTTTTTGAGTTTGTTAGTTGTTTGGATTGGGTGATGTTCCAATTAATTAAAAATATCAAAAGAAGTTCAAAATTAAAATTTGAAGTGATTTGGAGCAGATTTGAGCAAGATTTGAGTTAAATTTTAGAAAAGACGTAAGGAAGAAGACGAAGTCAGTTTTTTGTATAATTATGTATAATCTTGTATAATAATGTATATGAGTGTATAAACACATCTTATACATTATTATACACTTTTAACACCTTTATATAAGCGTATTTAACTTTCCACGATTTTAATTTACAATTCTTGTTCAAAACCAGTCCAAGTCTCCATTAAATGACTTTTTATATACAACCTCCTTATACTATGTCTAACAAGTCTAAATAACATCAACTCCAAATTTCGCACAAAATCAAATTTGGAATGTAAACCCACATATTTAAGCTTGTTAAAAATCTAATTTTCACCACCCAAATGGATTTGTTTTGTTGAACTAATATTTGAGTCATAGTTACTAATTCAAAAATAAACTTATAAACTTGAGCAATCTTTTTTTAAAAATAAAATAGTAATTTCAAGAACCTATTGTAGTTAGAATGTTGAATCTTAACCTATTATTTTTTGGGTAGTTGGTTGTAAATCGAAATATGGGCTATAAAATTGAAAGTAGGGAGCCCAATTGTTCTGATGTGAAATTTTCCCGTAGCTATCTGGTGTCATTTCTGCAATATAAGGTCTACGCTGTACATATCACATAATTATATTTGCAGAAATTTTTGAAATACTAATGTAAGCAGTAGCCAGTAGTAGCGACTCTAATCCAATTCCAGAAGTTATTTTGAATATTAGTTTAAGTGTACGCGCTTTGCGCGTGATCAAAACGCGTACCTTATTTGACAACAAACATTTACAGGAAAAGTTTGGACTTAGTTACGAACTTCGTCACTAATCCCTTGCTAAATTGCTTGCCATTAAATTTTATACCCCATGTGTATGTGTTTTGCATGCGCATATCGTCGTCAATAAGTAAATTTGTACGTATACAAGAAGAATAAATTGAAGTAAAATAGTAGTTGATAAACGTTATCATTGGAGACTTTGTGGTAAGCACTCCTATTATTAATTATTTGTACGATATTGTTTCGTATCTCTTTAATTAAAGTACTTTTAAATCGTGACACATATTTATTTAGACTTATATTTTCACCATACTTCTTACCAAAATAGCCTATATATTTTTGTATAAGATAATACTAACTTAATATTTAAGAAAATAGCAAATGACTTTTTTTGTCGATTATGGAATCTTTTAGTAAATCGAAAAAGTTTAATCAACTAAGTACTTTATCATTTTTTTATATTATTTTGTGCATTGAATTTACAATATGCATCCTACAAAGAAAAAAATGGATTGATTTTATTTCTAACATTTTTTTGTAAACAAATTGTAATAAACTTTATCACTTGCGACTTTGTAGTAAAGACTCCTATTATTAATTATTTGGATGATATTGTTCTGTATCTCCTTAATTAATGATACTTTTGAATCATGACACTAAATGACATATTTATTTAGACTTCTATTTTCAATACATTCTTACCAAAATAACCTATATATTTTTGTATAAGATTATATTTATTTAATATCTAAGAAAATAACAAATGGCTTTTTTTGTCGACTATGGAATTTTTTAGTAAATCGTAAAAAGTTAAATCAACATTTCTAAGGACCTTATCTTTTTTATTTTTTATATTATTTACTTAAGCATTAAAATATATAATATGTATCCTGCAAAAAAATATAAAACAAATAAATTAGATTGGTTATATTTCTAAAGCTTTTGTAAACGAATTGTATTGAAATCTTTTCTAAACATAATTTGCTAATTTATTTTCTTATAATTACAGTTAGTCAAGGACTCCTTCATATTATTATGAGACAAAAATAGGTTCATATTTCTTTATGTTAGTTAGAATAAGTTAATTCTAACCAATCTTTATTAGGAGATTTAGATGTGCAACTTAATTCAATTTGAAAAAACAAATAAGCAATCCGAAGTTTCGAACAAATTTTGTATAAACAAATAAAATTTTCTTCTTTAATTCAATATATTTCAGAGTATTAATGATGCACAATTACCATGGAAGATAAAATTTCTTCCTAAATAGTAGTGTATTTCTTTATAAGGTAAAATATATAATAATTTGAGAAAAATAAGTAAATGACAATTTTTGCTAGTTTTAGTGCACGTGCATAAATAATTGAAAAAATAGCAACAATTGTTTTAGGACCCTTTCTATAAATTAAATATAACAATTCCGAGTTGTAAATTAGTAACATAAAAACGTTAAATTTTTACTGTTTAGAGTTCAGCTATTTATGTTTCACACCTATAATTATTTTTGCAAGTTTTAATGTAGTTGCTATCTCAAAAAAATATAGAGGAACATACACGCACAAACAAACATATATTACAAATAACGAAAGAAGCATCGGCTTTAGATAATTTTAACATGTTGAATAACCCATGGAAGGCGCCAAGTATTGGATTAATGAACTTGACAATTACTGTGTAAAAATTTATAATCCTATACAAGAAAGAAAAAATTGTAATTTAGAAAAAGAATAAATTTACTCGGTAGAAGGGCTAGAAAAAGCGAATTACACTATTCTTATTAAAATAAAAGAGAAACCTCATCATAATTAAGCAAAATATTCTCAATATTTTAAATGAACATGCATTATTGTTGGATATTAATTCATGAAAATATACTACAAAGAATAAAGAAAAAATAAAAAGCTAAACCTAAATCAAATCAAAACAAATTATGAAACAAATTGGACAATTATAAGCGGCTATGTATACGTTTTCAATTCTCCGATTCTCCAAATTTACTTGGAGATATGCTTATATAGTGACTTCTTCAAGTCTTCATATTTGGAAAGAAATCAAAGGGAATAAGGACTTTCTTTAAATAAATCTATGTGTAATTATTAGGTGAAATACTATAAAAATAACTAAGTAATAATTTGAGGAAAATAGTAAATGATAATTTTGTCTATTGTGGTGTCTTTTAATGGAGGGCAAAAAGTTCAATCAACATTTCGCTAAGGGTCTTCGTGTTTTTAATATAGTATTGGCTTCTATGATCGTGCGTTGCACGAGAAGTGTGTACTGACAATAATAAACTTTCAATTGCATATGTACACAGTATGAAATTAGTTCCTTAAATAAATAAAAATATAT